GATAGAGATAGAGATAGATAGATAGAGAGTCTTATATATATATATATATGTGTGTATATATATAAATATATCTACATATACACACATGTATAATATTATATATTTACAAATATACATACATAAGTACAAGAATAGATAAATACATATATACATATATATGTATACACATACATATATACATATATATATATAATATGTATGTATGGAGACTTTGGCAGATCTGGCTCTGGCACGTCAGGCTCCTTTTGATTGGCTCCATGCACACCTCAGCCGGTGGCTGGAGCTGTTTGGGTCCGGGCCCTCGTCGCAGACTTCGCGTCACGAAGTGCGCACGAAACTTGTGGTCAGGCGTGTCAAACGACTGGCCTGCTTCCCTGTCGGTCTCAACGAGAGCGAGATGGAGAACAGCACTGGCCGCAGCGCCTAGCATTGCGTCGCTTGTTTTTTGGTGTGATTCTGTGGATTGTTCTTGGTGCTCCTGATACGTAGCTTGGGTTCAGGTCTGGAAGACACCAGTGATTCTGCGATGATGAGGCGGTTGCTGGGGCCTCGGACGTCCGGACAGAATGCCTTCTGCTTGAAGCAATGGTGCTTGTGAGGTCGAGCTTCGTAGCAGATGATTCAGACATGCCCAATGCCTCCGAAGACAGCACCTGTGGCGGCAGAATGAACCTTTTGCAGCACAGGTGGACGCGCCGGTGCGCATGAGACCTCATAGCCAAGGTGATATCATGGCAAGCGACAACATGTCGGAGGACAACATGTCGGAGGAAGACAACATGACTGACGATGAAGAAGGCTGCAACCGGCGAGCATCGCATCACCCTTTTTCTTGCAACTTCTGATGCAGTGGATCCTGCACGGTGAGGCGAAGAGGATGAAAACGAAAGCAATGACAGCAATGTGAGCACTGGTCACGCCTGGTGGTATTGGCAGCCAGCTTGGAGCTCAAAGTGTATCTTTCTGTGCCTCCCCACCCTTGAAGAATGAAGGGGAACCTAGTCTGTAAACCTGTTGGGGATCATTCGGCAGGGTCGATTGACTCATGGCCGCATAGGTGATTGAGCCCATGATCCTCGCGGCTTCCCGCCGCTTCCTCCCGCATCTTCCCCTCATCACCTTCGCGTGTTGCGGTTTTGGGCACTGGGACGAAGGGCACTGCGCTGTCAAAAAAAAATCGGGACCTTCATAAATGCCTATACTACTTTGGGGGTTCCTTTATTTTACTATGGCAGAATGTACCCCAAAACACTATTCCAATCATTAAGGCCCCTATACTATCAGATCCCAGGGGCTTCAAGGCCGACACTCCCTAAGTCCGAAGACCTAGGCCATGGACAGCTCCAGCTTGGAGGGATGGCTCCTCCCTGAGAGTGTTGGGCTTGCTGTGGAGATTTGTAGGGTTGCTTTTTTTTTGGAGGCAGCCGAGGGTTGAGGCTTTGAGGGTTTAGCGTTCACTGGCGTTTAGGATTTAGGAGGTTTGCGCTTTGGATTCGGGGTTCAGAGTCTAGAGAATCAACGGTTGGGATTTCGGGTTTAAGGTTTTAACACGTTTAGCTGCTTCGGGAAGGCCGAAGTCACGCCCCTAAACGCTGAAATCGAATCCTTCGTCTCGGTCTCCGATATGAAGGCCGACTGCCTCAAACTGCAGGGTCTTCAGGCATAGTCTTTTCTGAGGTATCGATGTCAATCGTACTAGTACATGACAAGGCGGGAGCACAAAAGGAACCATGATGTGTCACGACTTCCTCTGAGGTATGCCATTGACCTTCTGAAGGAGTGCCCGTCAGGCCAAAGCGAGGGTCTAGATAAGTGTAGGGTGCCCTCAAGGAATCAAGGTCGAGGGTACTTTATCGTACATCATGGTAGCCCTAAACCCCTAAGCCCTAAACCCCTAATCCCTAAACCCCTAAGTATCTTATAGCAGACGATAGCCAAAAGTGTTGGATGCCATGAAGGGCTGAGGGTTCCTTCGTTTTGACTGCCTGCTGCCTTTGCTTTCTGTCCAGGCCCCCCGCTGCGCACTGCGGCCGAGGTCCATGCAATAGAGATCTAAACGAGGGTTTAGGGGTCAGGGTTTCCGGCTTAGGTTCTAAGGGTCTAGGGTTCAGGGTTGGAGTGTTTCGGTTTAGTTCGGGTGCATCTCATGGCCATCCTTGCCATCAATGGCGACGTATGCTTTGGGGTGAGTGCTTGTTATCGTCACTAATACAGTAGTTGCGCGGGTACCAAAGTTAGAAGTCAGAAAAATCGCTGACAAGAGAAACGGCGATACTGAAAGCACTGTCTGCGATGTCCGAGGCGGTGGTGTGCCCTCAAGCCATCCTGGAGCATCTGGAGAGGTGGCCCAGACTGCATGTGGGAAGTGTCATTGCCCCTAAGTCCTAAGTCAAAAAGAAGCCTCAACTGCATCCTACACACCGAAATCCGATACGTCCTGCTCCTGCACCCCCAAACCCTAACTCCTACGCCCGGCAAGCCCAGATTCCTGCGGGCAACTCTGGCCCTCGGCATCGAAGAGGACTATCGCGGCCGTGGTCCCCAGATCGGTCGAGAGTTAACGGTGTGGGTCTAAGTGTTGTAAGACCACACAATTCCCCTCCGTTCCTTATACAGTTTACAACCCGTACTCTTTTTGCCATGATACGATCAACTGGTGCGCAGAAGCTGCACATGTGGCTGAACATCGCCCCAAACCCTAAGCCCCAATCGTAGTTGTTCTGGGTATCATTATCATCAGATTCCTTTGGGCCAGGCTGGTGCCCAACGGACATGAACCTGTCCATGAACGAGAGTCCACAGCTAAGTGGGCTTGGGACCCGCAGGACCTTGACATCAGCGATCAAGCAGTTACGTAAGCGCTTGCTGTTGTTGAAGCCCAGACCCCCTTTCTGTGAGCTGGGGTGGTGCGCGCACACACGCAAGCGAACAATTTGTTGTTGAGTGTATGTTTGGGTGCGTGTCGGGCTTCTAACAGGTCCGTTAGCTGCAATGCGGTGATGTAACTAGCTTGTATTTATCTTGGCACAGGGCATAGTCGCTGTGGAGCAAGACAGCACTTGTGCTAGCAATAAGACCTCGCGCCTCTTCTATATCCCCCTAAACCCTCAAACCCTAAACCCTTAGTTCATAGCGGTGTCGAGGCGAGACGGGCGATGCATCCGCGACTGAGTTGAACTTCCTCGGAGAAGAGGACCGCTTCGGGTCGGATGTTTGGTGGCCTCAGTTCTTCAGAAAGTGCTATGGAGCTAAGGATTTTTAGGGCTTTGGGGGTTTGGGGCTGAGATAGGATGAGGGTTTAGGGCTGGATACTAGCACGGTTGAGGGTGTTTGGAGTTTAATGTAGGGGCATCGGGTTTAGGATGTATGAGGTTCGGGTTAAGAACATTATTGGTTGCAGTGCCACTTGTCGTAGCCGTGCAAGGAGCGACTTCGAGACCAGCTGGATCGGATCAGGTGCCGTGCTGTCATGAGGCTTTGGGTGCAGTCAGGCTTGGCTTCATCGTTCTTAATCTCAGGACAGTGGCGTGAGATTGGGACGCGGTTTGGCCTGTCTTTGGTTAGCCAGGCGCACGGAGATGAACTACGGCAGCACCGTGCACTTCGACGGGCCTGCCTGGGTGTCGGAAGAGGGCCACCATGCCAGCTGCCAGGTGCCAAAGGCCTGACCTCTGCAGAATTCCAAGCTTCTGAGGTTGTTGGAAGTTGTGGGGATAGATGGAGGCAGTTCTTTTCTGCATAAGCTCTCCTATATAGGCCTTAGTCAGGGATCTCTCGAGCGCCCGAGATCCGCAGCGCCCTCCGCCAGATCGACGATTTCTTCGCAGCCATGGCCCGGGCTTCACTGAATTACAGCGCCATCATCCAGAGAGAGGCCCGGGGGTGCGCCAAGCTCGGACACTTGCACTGTGAAGAATTCCACCACCCCCCTCATGGGTCAGCGAAACACAGGATTCTCACCCACGTAGATACGAGGCGGCTCCAAATACCGAAACCCCGTGGAAGGTCATTAGGGTAGGGCTCAACTCTAATCCTGAGCTTAAATCCTAAACACTCGCCAAGAAGCAGAAGTAAACCTAACTGCTACGGCCCACAACCCCAACCAAGAAGCTCTACACCCTCAACCCTGCCCCCTGCCGGATCTACTGTAGGGTCGAGCTATTCCTCAGGCTTGCCGATGAGATCCAGTGTTGAAAATGGCTCAAAGCCCCAGTCCTAACAGACCCTAAGCCCCTTGTAGGATTCTTGTCATGTATACTATATACCTTCGGCCGGGCCCCAGAGGGTTTTTCATATGATTTCCGGTTCACTTGTCGATTCAAAAACCCCATGGAGTTGCAGCTCTAAGCGCCAACTTCCGGCAGTTCCCAACCTCGTTTGACTTTGCAAGAATCGGCCAAAATTTGGAAACCCGACTCCTACTTCCTAAATGTTACAGCCCAAGCCAACGAACCCCCGAAACCTGACCCCAAACCCAGAGCCCTCTAACCCCCTACGAAACCGATCTGGCAGTTCCAGCAAGTCCTGCTCGAAGCGGCCGCGCTTTCCTGGGGCCTTTGTTCGCAGACGCGCCGCTGCGACAGGCACTTCTTCCCTTCCCGCTGTGCATCATCGGGCTTCGGGTGTGGAGTTTCGAATTCCTGGTTTGGTGATTCGGGCTTTAGTCCTTATAGCCCTTAAACCCTTCAACCGTTATCTTAAACCCTTTCCAAGAATCCCTGGGAGGCTCGCACTCCTCTTCGTGCTCGAGGTTTGCCAGGCGGCCCTTCACCGTCGGCCACCCGGGGGTTGGGTAGATCTCATAGATTTTGACATATTATTGTGGTGGGGTGTGCAATTGCTTTCGAAGCCCTAGTCTGGGAGATGTACACAGGATTCCGGGAGTAGCAGCGGGAGTTATCATTCTAGAAGCCATCATCGCCATCACAGTACCATGTACCAGTATACACGAAGGACGAGAGGGAACGAGAGCAGACGATGAAGAAACAGCCACTTGGACTTCGTGAGTGTTTGGTGGTTTCGCCAGCAGAGACTTAGGTTGGCTTCCTCGTGTCGGACATGGGGACCTTGTTCGACCACGAGGCCTAGAAGCAACACCTAGATCTAGATGCTCAAGGGTATAATTACAAACACTATTCTGTGGGGCTACTAGTAGTATTACAGTAGAATTCACACCAAACTCTATTCAAGCAACTACTATAAGGTTGAGGCATCGCAGTTCAAGGTTCGGGTCTGTTCGGCATTAGCACACATTTGTCGGAGCAGTGGCTGCAAAACAGAAGGTGATCGGTGATAGCAACTGCGGCAGTAAAGACAAAACTAGCAGTAGTCACATAGATATAATTACATGACACGGGGTTATTGCTGGCGTCGCCATTCAGTGCAAGTAGTACAGCGCTCAGACTATTTTAGCGATTTTGGTGACTCTAGCAATCATGACACACAATCCCGATTAGAGCAACATTTGTAGCAGTTGTACATCGTGATACGTTCATTTCCCGTAATGTTAGCTTCATATACTGAGAAACCACTCTAATTTAGAGAACTACCCACATCCCTGAGTTTTACATGTGCTTGGCCGCCTCGGACTTTGCTATGATGGGAGGGTCTGGGGCGAGGGCTTCCAGATAGGTCCTCCGACTGTTTTGCAATTACGAGCGGGATTCCACCGTAAATATGATGTCAACATGACAAAACAAAAGCCCCGTAGTGATGGAAGTCGAACCAATCGAGATGGGATGGGCGATCTTTTGACCAAGGTAATGAGACCCTTTCCGCATCCACCGACCCTAAACTTCCGCTCGGCTTTTATTCAAGATGGTTGGGCGAACCCTGAGAATCAGAGTCATAATCATCGCAGCAGTGCCGGTAAGGCATGGTAGTAAGACCAAGCCCTTACTTCTTCACAGCAGGCATATGTAGTTTTGCCCATTCTTCCCAGGGGCAAATTGCAATCATGAATATGACGTATGAGCGCCAGCCTGTTCTGTGCACTTGCCATGTTCCCCAGTGCATCAGGACATGATGAGCTTCTGTCTGAGGTGCACGTTGAGTGCCCTGGCATGTTTCTGAGGAGGGCGAACCGTCATGCGATAGCGGTTGCGCATTTGGCCGTCATGGTGTTTCTGAGCTGTCGAGAAAGACCCGCCCGCCTGCACTGCACTGCACTACCCCGAAGCCCTACACCGTCAAACCCGTCTAAAACCCTAAACCCTAAACCCTAATCCTATAACCCTGAAGCCCTATAACCCTAAACCCTAATCCTATAACCCTGAAGCCCTAAACCCTAAACCCTAATCCTATAACCCTGAAGCCCTGAACCCTAAACCCTAAAATTGAAGTCGCATGTTTCTCTGCCAGGCTTGGTCTGGCCGACCGGATGCCGGAGCGACCGGCCTTCCTCCACTGGCACAATCGCGGCTACCTGAGCTGGGCTTTTGGGCTCTTTGGGGCCTAGGGCGCAGGGGTTTTAGGGTCTTTTGGATTTATGGTTTGGATTCAGGGCATAGGGCTTTAGGGTTTTTAGGGTTTAGGGTTTTTGGAGGCACATCTCTCGCAAGACTGGCGTGCCACAGCTTGTAGGTTGCGGTCCTGAATGGCGTTCTTCAACCCTAAAACGGAAACCGTGGCTCCGCAAAGATCGTAAATGGAGTCACTTCGACGGGGACTGAGGCATTGCCATCTTCCCCGCGCCCACGGTGTCAACGATCTGGCCGAGAGGTCCACCAGTCATGTCAGTTTAGGGTTTAATATGGGTTTATAAGACCTTTGGGATCCCTCTTGCATGTAAACCAGTAGTATAGAGAAGCCTGCAACTAAGGGGAGTCCTGCTTTAGAGTGCGAATGCAGTGTTGCAGTTCATCGGCCTGCTTCAAGCAGCCTTGATCCGTCTCCCTACAAACCACGCCATGATCTTGAAATTTATGAACCCTATAAACCATTGTACTTAAACCCTATCAGCCTTAGACCCAAAACCCTCCCAAACCAATAAACCTTACTCAACCTTCTATGCCCTGAGCCCTAAACCTGAAGGTGTCTCCATCGAGCAGCGTGCTCACATCCTCGCATATGGCCGCCACTTCCACCCATCACTGGAGCCTGGGAGCCTAGGGCTTTCCTAGCTTTAAACGTCAGGATTTTAGGGTTTCCGATTTTGGGGAAATTTAGGGTTTATACGGTTTGAGAATCAGTGGCTTGGGATGGGTGCAGGCGGCTTTCAGGGCTTGGGTTTGGGTTTGTGGGTTTTGTGTGCCCTGGGGCCTTCCTTCTTGATTCTCTACCGCGATTTCACAGCATCTGACGAAGTCTTCAACATAGAGCTTGGCGGAAGTCGTTAGCAGTCTCCGACATTGATTCATGCTTTATCTAGCTAGGGTCAATCTTAAGAGAGCAAGGTACGTAGTTAAAATGTCCATGTGCTCAGAAGACCAGGCCGCGGTGCTTGGTGCAGGACGGCAACAACAGCTGGGCTCGGTTCTCTGTTCAGTTCTGCTGTCGATTCGAGAGGCTCTGCATGAGTGTCGAATTGCACCGTTTAGGGCATTGCATGTGATGTGGTTGTCGTTGCAGTAGCAGTGGCAATGGCAGTGGCAGCGACAGTGACAGTGGCGGCAGCAGCAGTAGGAGGAGCAGGAGGAAAGTGGTGGTGTTAGGTTAGTAGCCGTCGTTTTTGTGACATTCGCCGCTTGAGAAGGCCCGAAGCCCTCAAGCTCGCAACAGCCCGTAAGATCCAGGCTGCTTTCCCTGCAGTACAAGTATCTGAGACTCGCCTTCGGTGCTTGCTCACGCCTGCATCTCAATGGGCTTGGGGCCGACTCGGAGGTTCGAGGGTTCAGGTGTTCGGGCTTGAGGTCTATTGGGTCATAACATAAGCATTTTTCGTTCGGGGTCTCTCTGAAAAACTCTGAGTAAGGAGACTTGCCCCCTGTAGCGTCAAATGAGGTTCCCTTAACCCAAGCTATACTTTAGGGGCCTCAGGACTGCATGGGCTTTCTAGGATTGCAAAGTCCAGGGTTTCGCTTGGCTCCGCTTCGCGAGCATGGGAGCCGTGGGGGCCGTGGGCTAGAAATCGAGGACTTGGGCTGCGAGGGAGAGCAAAGAATGCATCCAATGGCCGCCATCATGTGCGCAACTTCTGAGGCGTGGATCAGGAACCAAACACAACCTTGGGTGTGGGATATCCCTACCATCCCAGCCCTTAGTTCGTTTGGGTCCTTAGAGGAACCGCAGCTGCAGCCATGCGATGAGGCCAACCAAATATGGTCGGCACACGGAGAACCTCACCTTCGCCTTTGCATCGCGCGTGAAGGTGCCCCAGTGCTGGCAGGTTGATGCAGATTTAGGTCTGGGGCTCGAGGATCCAGCACTGAGGAAGTTTTTGTTTGGGCTCGTGGGCTTTACGTAGTCTTTCGGCAGCGCGAACGCGAGATTGTTCTGTGCATACACAGTCTCAGTGAGCTGTGTCCCCAAGCCCGAAACCCTGAACCCTATATAAACCCTATATTATACTAGATAAACCCTATAGAAACCCTATACAAACCCTCTACAAACCCTATACACCCTAAACCTGATACTCAGGTGGCCGGCGTTCGCATGCGAAGCGTGGAAACCCATCTGGGAGCTCCAGAGGCCGCCCGGCTCTCCCAGCGCTTCGGATGATGGGCTTTTAACGGTAGATGGGATGAGGTTTTATGGTGTTTTGTATCGGGTTTAGGAATGTTTTCGGGGGTTGTTTGAAGCCCAGATAAAGGCATGAGAGGTTTCATTTGTCAAAACAGGGTTTAGTGAGTGGGGTTTACGGTGGGATACTCTTGGGCACCAATGTAACATAGCGAAACATGCGTGCCACCGTCACCATCGAGTCTTAGCAGTCATAGCACACTCTAGTTCTGTGTGATGGGATGCTCGCCAGTCTCTACCAGTTCGGGTGCAGGTGAGGGATTGTGGCAACGAGTCCATCGAGATGGAGGTATGGGAGGATGCCGGAACGGGTGTGGTGGCTGTTGCTGCGACATGTTCATTGCATCCCGTTTCCACTATGTTGTACAATACTGCACTGAAGCGGGTCGAGGAGTACGATGACGATGACATGATGGAAATGGGCAATGACAGCAACATGTCCAGCATGTCCAGCAATACATCTGCCACGAGAAGTCTGGGCCTCACTCCAGGGTAATGCTTCAAATTGGGGGTCGCGCAACATCCTAAGGACATGGCAACATGACAGAGGCGCGGGCCATGCGGCCGAGGTACTTTGAGTATACCAACTGCTCGTTCGAGGCGACAGGGAAGACACATCTGCTGCCCCATGCTGCTAAGCCGCCAAGCCCTAACCCCAAACTCAAATCCCCATACCCTGAGCCCTACACTCCGACCACATTGCCGAAACCCCGCACCCCAAACTAAATGCCCGACCACCCTACAAACAATCTCGAGTCCGAGCCCTGTGAGGTGGACCCGGTGCCAGAGACCCACGTCTCCGACCAGATGGTGGCTCCGCTAGCGGTCGGGTACAACACCGAGGCAGACGGGGCCTAAACACACTTTCAGGATCGGCAGGTCAAGTTTCGAGGCGATGTTCAAGATGTAGGTTTTGGAGTTTAAGCTCCAGGGTTTAGGATCTGGGAAGTTCAGTTGATGGCACGGGTTTGTTCTACGGTCGTGCCAAGTTCTGATAAGAACAGCCATCTTGTTGCTGTCTCATGCTGTCGCACGGAAGACTGACAATCAGCATCGTAAGAGCCTGTACAGCTCCCGACATCAACTTAGTTCTTCAATACGCAGCCTTTAAACTTTCTGGGTTCGCATAATTTAGCAGTAATCTGAAAGTGTAACCTTTTCGTGGCTTATTGGGTAAGTAAGGATACTACCTTAGCAGCTTTCTTGTGATCTTGCCAGTCGCGCATGAAGAGGCCAGCATACCTGCGAGCTTGAATCCAAACCTCGTACATGTCGCCGGTGGTGCCGAGCTGGCCATTTACGGCAACTTCTATGGGCAGGAAGACATGTGGCTCCTTGCTGGCAAGTTTAGCGTAAATTGTAGTATTAGGCCGCATAATTCCCCACATGGGCGAACGGGTTGTGCAGAGTGCAGACATGTGAGTTGATCAGTCTCGAGTTCTTATGTGTCAGGTGTGGCTTCGAAGGTGTTAGGCAGCGGTCGCGTGCGGTCCGCGTCTCGAATCTGGAGATTCGCTGTCAAGTCCCTCCTCGTACCGTGGGCATCAGTCGTGTGTATCTGACAGCCCGTGATGCACGTGGTCTTCCTAGCGTGGTGTCCGCCAATGTCGGAATGATGCAGCTGGAGTACATTGAGCCAGTTCATCTCTACGATGTTGAGCCCAAGCAGGTGATCGACGGAAAGAGTACCCATCTCAAGGTCCACGGTTCGAACTTCCGACCTGTCTCTGCTCTTCGCTGTGGCTTCGAAAGTCGGGTGCAACGCCGCAGCCTTCTAACCCACCGGATTCCTGTCTGGACGTGGTTTGGGCACGTGCAATGCAGCTCCCGCATCGCAGCGGATGCCATTCGCACCTTCGTCATGTCTCTTGGTTGCGTTTGTTTTCACAGCCTTTCAGGCAGGACTTGGGACTTGGCTACTCGGAGTTGCAGAAGGTGGGGTGACTGGCTTCGTGAGTCTAAGATGGTGCTGTCGAGCAAGGTTCTCCGCGGAGGCTCTCGAGCCCTTGGATCGCGTCGATCCTTTCATGTGCGTCTCGTACCAGAAAGATGGCACCTGGGTGTCTCGCCATGTACCGGCTGCATGATACCTCATGTCCTCATGATGTTAGTTTCAACTACTTTCTATTTTTGCCGGGTCCCGTCCGGGCTCGGTAGAGGCACTGGCATGCTCACTGGCACTAGCACTCGCTCGACGACTCAAGGTCTATCACTTGTTTGACGAGAACGGTGTGCTGGCCGAACCACTTCTGCCACGCCTGGATGATGCTCTGGTGGCCGAGATTGTCGGCAAAGACATCATCTCTTTGGAAAGGTACACCGGCACTTTTGCCGGTGTTCACATCGGATACGACAGGCCTGGTGCTTAAGCATGTTTCTAGCAACCGACCATGACCCAACAAACACCCGACATCTTCTCAAGCCCAAGCTGATGCAGGGGAGATCTGGAGTTCCAGCCTGATATCGACAACCTGACCCAGTGGTTGCTGGATCGTGACATTGAGCTGCCGCAGGCCTTGCCAGAAGCCGCCGCCCGAAATGAGATATCCTTGCACCCGTAACACGAAAAGCCTTCGGCCAGAGGGCGCAGAGATTTCGAGACCTTTCACATGCTGTGGTCTCGCCAGGCTATCCCACGGAGAACCACATCCGCACCAACCACAGCTACCACGTCAACGGAGCCTCCCAGTGAGAACGAGAGCAACATGAGCACCACCAGCGGCTTCGCTCACGGTTCAGGTATGATCGTCAGTTTGGGGTGGTGTTCATCTCCCAGCCAAAGGACTTGCTGTGCAGTTTCCTTTGGACAGCTGCCTCAATACCTGTCATTTTCAACAAGACCATATTATGTCTCTGTGTCATAGTATATATATATACACACACACAAACGTATATAGGCTACCACTGGAAGGCTCTCCAAACTTCACACACTTCAAGGAATAGCTCTTCTGTAGAGGCTGTTAGGAAGTAGGATTGCTCGCGGGATCCCTGTTGTACAAGTCTGCGCGTAGATGGGAGCAGCCCCGTGTCCGTGTGTTGTTTGCGTCTGCAGGGTTCTTGAAGCTACAGCTAAGGGATGAGAAGGGATATATTATACTATCATGACTATATCATTATAAAAAGGAGCCCCTAAAATAGCATATGTAATTATAGTACCCTGGGTAGGTCCAAAGGAGATAGACAATTCAAGCTTGCTCGTGGAGGTCCGTCGCGCAAGGTCTGGCACCAGTACATCTCGTCAGTTCAAGCTTTGCAGATGTGCACATCGTGTGTGTGTGTGTGAAACTCCTGTCTCTAAGGATTTAGGACT